TAGTAGACCGTCTATGCGTTCCTAACAGCGAGGAGATCCATAGTTTAATCCTAGGGGAATGCCACGACACAGAGGCACACTTCGGTTGGCAAAAGACTCTAGCCAACCTGATGCATGTGTGTACATGGCCAGGAATGAAGAACGACTGTATAGAGCATGTCCGCAGTCGTAAAGTTTGCCAGAGAAACAAGAGCACTACACGTGCCCCTCTTGGTCTTCTCATACCCTTGCCTATTCCTGACCAGCCCGGAGACTCAGTGTCCATCGACTTTACGGATATCCAGGTCAAGAGTAGGCACGGCAAGAGTCAAGTCAGGGTCATAGTTGACAGATTTAGCAAGTATGCAGTTTTTGTTCCTTTGCCTACATTGGTCCGTACTGAGTTAGTGATTCAAAAGTTTTTGATTTTTGGGTTAGTGAGCATGTTGTCCCGTTGTCTATAGTTAGCGATAGAGATAGTCGCTTTACAAGTCAGAACTGGCAAGAACTGATGAAAGTCTATGGATCCAAGTTACTGATGTTGTCTGGCCGCCATCCAAAGACTAACGGTCAGACTGAACAGATGAATAAGATCCTGCAGCAAGTTCTGCGTATGTACATTAGACCCGATCAAGTCAATTGGGACGAGATGTTGCCCAAGGTAGCCAGTGCGTACAATAATAGCATGCACTTGTCCACCTGTTGCACTCCCAATGAGCTGCACAAGTCCTTTAGACCGCGCAGACCGTTTGAGGGACTTGACCGGGATCAGATTCACAGGCTACCGCCCAGTACCAGGGAGTTTGTGATACAGCATGAGAGAGAAATAGCCACTGTTGTCGAGAACCTTAGGAAGGCCCAGCAACGAATGATAGAACAGGCTAATAAGCACTATCGCCCGTCACAGTTTCAGGTTGGCAACCTGGTTTGGGTCAAGTCTAAAGAGTTTGCTCCTGAGGACAACATCTCGCAGAAGTTACTGCCCGCGTATCGAGGACCGTGGCCAGTTCTAGAAGTTAAGGGCGGAGAGGATGGGCCGTCCTATACAGTAGCGATCCCAGCACACCTCCACACCTACCCTGTGTTTCATGCCTCAAAGTTGTTGTCGTGTGTCACAAGTCAACAGTTTCCATCTAGGAGATCTATGATTCCTCCGGACATGGACGGAAGGTACGACATTGACGACATTGTAGGTGAAGATGTGTTCAGAACAGGAGGTAGAGGCTGTCCACAGAAGCAGTATAAAGTCCGGTTTGCTTACCAGGAGTCGGAGGACGACCACTGGTTTACCAGAGCAGAACTTCTTGAAACAGCTCCCGACATAGTTAGAGCCTACGAAAGGGAAAAGAAAGGTAAAGGTCCTGCCTTGGACTGAGTTATTCTCGGAGGACCTCGAATTTAGGTCGGCGGGAGTGAAACGGTATTCACCTGTTCGCAGTAGCCGATGCAGATCGCAGGGCTCGATCCCTAGTCCTCACCTTACCTGTGTACATTATCTGTGTCGACCCCTAGAGTTGAACCCGTGACCTGTGTATTTGTAACAGTTGGTAGATTGTCGTAGGGTCCGTAGGTAGTAGGGGTTCGATCTGTAGACCTGTCGGGTAGGAGTCCTAGCAAGGTCTAGAAGTCGTAGTTGTAGCTCCTCCGAAAGGTCAAGGTCGTAGCCGCTACAATCCTGAAGGGTCAAGGCCGTAGCTGCTACAGTATCGAAAGGCCATGTCCACGGCCTTCCGGAAAGTCCCAGCAGTGGCCTCTCGAAGTTGCCCATGTTTAGGCTGAGGCAAGTGGGCAAGTGGTGGAGTTTACCTGTGCTGAGTCAGCAGTCCCAGTCCCAGTCAGTCCTAGTCCAGTCAAGCAAGTACCGCATGGGACTGTGTGCACTACGGGCATGGGAAAGGGCCATACCAACGAACTACAGAAGTATAAATCAAGAGGCAACGCCCAACCATTCATTCATTCCTGCGTGAGCCATGCGGAAGCACTGCCACAGCGACTTGTGCGAGGTGGTCTGCAGTGAGCCTAAAGACGAAGTGGGCGAGAGAGAGGAAGCTTAGCCATAGCGATAGGGTAGTAGCGGCCATAGCCGCCATAGGTGTAGGTAGCATTCAGTGTGTGAGTGTGTGAGTGTGCAGAGTATGGGTATGGGATATCCAGGGTGATCCTATGTGTGATAAGCAGCGACAAGTGAGTGTTGAACTGTTACATGCTGCGCCTGCACATGAGGGTCATTTTCCAGGCCCTGCGTCCCTCAGGCCGAAAGCCTGAAATTCAGGCTGAAACCCTGAAAACCAGGGCCTACAGGCCCCGTGTCTGTTCAGCCCGAAAGCCTGAAAAACAGGGGCCTACAGACCCTGTGTCGTTTCAGACTAAAAACGGCAGGAGCCTTTTTAGCCTGAAACGAAGGGCCATTTTCGGTCGTTCATCAGAACGACCGGCCCTAAATCTCAGGCACCGAACCAGGGTTTCGGGAACAAGGTATTCTTAGCCTGTTCCCACGACGGCCTCAGCAGATGCTGCAGCGCCAGCCCCTGGCGCACTTCGGCATTGGCAAGAGCAGCCTCCTCGGCCTGGCAGGCAGTCAGGAGGCAGGCCGAGGTAGTACGTAGGGACTTCCCATGCACTTCACGGGCAGGCCGGAGGCAGTCAGTAGTCTTCAGGATTCGGCAGCAGCACTCTGGAGGGAGCGCTGCAGGAGTAGTAGCAGCGTTAGCATTAGTCTTCAGCGCTGGGCGCAGTAGGTAGTTGTAGTCTTCAACGCTGGGCACCATAGCTAGGATAGCACTAGAGAGAGAGGGATTGGGCGGAGGCCAGGAGTACCTACCTGCAGCGCCGTTGCTCCAACTTCATCTTCGAGGTACCTGCAGCACAACGTCAACTTCACAGGTTAGTATCTGGCTCGTGACAGAGAGAGAGTTTTTCTTCTTCCTCTTCTCAGTCCACAATCTCCCTCTCACCCTCTCAATATCTGACTTCACTGCATCAGCAGACTATGAGAGAAACAAAGAGAGAGAGTTTGGTGACATTGGATCCAGACTCGACTTTTGGGCTTCAGACATTATGACGAGGGATTATTTGGAACTTGTGATAAAGACTTGGTGTTGACGACATTCCCTTCTCTCCCCCTCTCTTCGTCTGTGTATGTCTGGACCTGGCGCTTTCTTCCTGTGTACAGCGCCAGGCTCCTTCACACCTTGTGATGGATACGATGTATGTTTGGTCTGCGTTTAAACATTGATTGGGCTAGTCATTAGCATTCTAGCATTCTGCTTCGCTATCTAATACTACGTGAATGAGGTCAGACCCGGTCAGGTCAGGATCTGTATCTAAGTCTTGCCTGCGCTATTCAGCACCATTTTGTATGTATTATAATGCACATTGCTTGTTGAGATTCTACTTGCACTGAATTGTCCATTCAGTCCTTTTCATCACATTGCGGATCCTCGGTTTCTATGTACATCGCCCAACTGGGCATGTAACAGTTGGTATCGGAACGCCGCACGTGAATCAGGACAACCTGATCTGACACGTGTGCGGGGACTAGGTAGCTGATTAGTCTTTATTGATTGATAAGAGCACACTAGTTAGCCCCAAAATCACGATTTTGACCTTACTGGCAGTTACTGCCGAAAATCAATTTTTTTTTTTTTTTCTTGGATTTTGTTTTCTCGCTATTCTGTTGTGAAAAATCGCAATAGCGCAACATCTGAAATTTCCATTTTCGTTTTCCTTCTGAAAATTCAAAATTTCGTTGTTAAAAATCCGGAATATCCTTCTTTTCAAAAATTTTGATTTCCTGTTGCATTTTCCGTTACTTAGAAATTCGGAATATCTTCTTTTTTTCGAATTCGTTTTTCTGAAAACAGTACGGGAAATCCCTCCCGCGGGTATTATTTTCCAAACTGCGAATACTCTCACATGAGTAAATCCGAATACTTGTCATTTCTTTTCGGAAATTTTTTGTTCGCAGTTCTAGGATTCTGTTAGTCAGTTCTATAAATCATTTGCAGTCTGAAGTCAATTTGTTTTTTCTCATTGATCATTTCGCACTTCAATGAAGGTTGGGAGACCTACGGCACTTGCAAAACTCGGGATTTTTATTTTTCTCAATTTTTTTTTTGCAAAGTTCAAACTTTTCTTTTTTGATTAGTGGCTCCTTATCTGGGCGTTATCTGGGCGATTATCCCMCCCMCCCCTCCCCGCCTATGTTGTTGCCATCTCTCGCCTTACCTTCTCTACCTGTCTCCAGGTACCCCGTGCGGCAGCATTGGTGAGTTGCCATGTCAGCAGACCACGTCAGTAGGCCACGTCAACAGACTACGTCAGCTGGCCACATCAGCAGGCCATGTCAGCAGGCCATGTCAGTAGTGCCACGTTAGCAGCAGGGAATACCACGTCAGCAGCCCCCCGGCCTGGTCTATGCTGCGTTCACAAACAGCCGTCATGGACCAGAGGTCCGGAGAAGCAGACGAGGCCTATCACGCCCGGATGCTGGCCTGGAGTACCGAAACAAAGAAACGGGCAGATGACGCAGCAGCAGCAGCGAAGAAGAAGGAAGAGGATGTCGAGCAGGCACGTCTGCTGGCAATTAAACAACAGCGCCAGCGTGACGAGGGAGCAGCACAGGCTGCTGATGAAGAAAGAATCCAACGGCAGCGGAATGGCGGACCGAGGCCGAGAATGGCAAGATGGAGGATAGCGAAAACAAGATCTCTCTCCTCCTCTCCCATCTCACAGACCTCCTGGCAACCTGCATTACACAGCAGGAGGATATCCACAGCCTCAACGACTCGCTAGCTCAAGTCCAAGGACGCCTCCGGCAGCTATAGCAGCGACCTGTCGCCGCCTCGATGCAAGCTCTTCCAACACCTCCGATCGCCTCGAAGCATTAGAGATGGACGTCAGGTCCCTCAAGGACGGCGTACAGTTACAGCAGACCGCAACACAACAGTTGGAGCAGCGGATTTGTACTACCGCCAATACCTCGAGTTCGGAACCGCGCGAGACAGCTCCAAAGTTTGACGGGCAGGAGATTTTCTGCGACTCGACGAAGACAGATCCGATTCCATGGTTCCGCAAGTTCGAGCTCACGCTGCAGCTACACAACGTCAAAGAACACAAGCACCACGTGTACTGATACTCCCGCTCGGGGGGGGCGTGCCAGGCTTGGTTGGACAATCTCTTGTCCATGTACGGAGTGGTAGCTGTCGACTTGCACACCAAGATCAGCTGGGATGATCTGAAGGCGGCATGCCACAAGTGGTTCCAAGTAGAGCCGCCGGAGATCAAGGCTATGGACAAGGTCATGGTCTTCGAACAAGGCACGCTGCCGAGTACCGACTCGATTGTCGAGTACCAACGCTTGACACCAGTCCCAGTCATCCAGATCCACTTCAAAGTTATCTGCCACTATTTCATCTCAAGGTCCTGTCCGACATTAAGCAATGCCCTTACTCACGTCGAGGACACCTTGACAACAACGGCGGAACTCTTGACAATGCCGCGCAGATCATCATTATGAACAAGGAGGCTAAGAACCTGCGTTCCTCTGCGCCAGGCCCGAGCAGAGACCAGCATCGGCCAAGAGTGGCTGTGGTCGCGGCGGCAATGCCGTTTGACCAACCTAGCGAGGCCGTGTCTGCCAATGAAGGGGACAGACTCGCAGCCGCCCGGGAAGGTGGCCGCCCCGGCAAAGGCCGAGGACGCGGCAAGACGAAGACACACACCAGATCTAGCCCCGGGCCCGACGCAGCAGCTCCAGCCCCATAGTCCCAATACGGCATCTCCGAGCAAGCATTCAAAGCGCGCACGAGATTCCACTATTGCCTTTGGTGCAACAACGATCTCCATGAGACACTGGCCTGCCTATTGAAAGGCAAGGGCAAACAGGGAAACTGAGCACCGCCGAGAGTGACTCGACAACACTCTCGACACCTCCGGAACCGGTTTCTTCGCGAGTGACCGGACTTCATTCTGAGGCGCATGCAGAAGTCGATAATCCTCTTCTATATTCTTTTGAGGACTATGCTGCCCGGCTCGTTCCTACGCTGGGTACTCAAGCTCAAGGACAAAATGTGTGTGCGGCATCTTCTAAGTCCGGCAGCGGCGACTTATCGTCTTCAAGTGGTTCTTCACGAGATTCGGTGCGCGAGTTCAACATAGAGGTATTGGACCCGTTCACGTCCGAGGACTTTGCATGGCTTCCTCTCCCGACCACGGGCCGCTTGCCAGGACCGCAATGCGCAGCACTATGCGCTCATCTCCACACGTACTTATCCTTCTATGCGCCACCAACTTCGCCGACGGATGACGAAGTCGCGGTGGGGGACATCCTTGCGTATGTTACCAAGGTGGCCCGCGAGTTTCGCACGCAGCGGTACGATGACAACAACGCACCGCTCATGTATGTCCGCATCCAGGTTGGGCAAGCGTCCTGCAGCGCTTTGCTGGATAGAGGCGCGTCTCGCAATTTCATGAGTCAATCCTTTATGCAAAAGGCTGGCCTTGGCGCACAAGTTCGGAGGAAGGCACACCCGACGGCAATCAAGTTGGCGGATGGAAAGACGCAACAACTTCTCGACCGTTACATTGAGGCCATACCGGTTTATTTCGCACCTCATGCATGCGAACCGGTGATGTTCGACATCTTCAACACGGACTTCGACATCATTCTGGGAATGCCTTGGCTTGCAAGTGCAGATCATACGGTCAACTTCCACGGGCGGACTCTTAGCGTTCGCGACGCGCGACGCCTTCAACGCCGAAGTGGCGTGTGTTATTCCTCTACCGCACCCTTCGATTCGGTGCCAAGTGGTGACGGCCAAATCATTCCGGGCGACCTGCGCTTACTAGCATCCCGAGGAGATCGGCCTATGTTTCCTATGGACCGTCACGGTAGCCAACCCATGGACTTGTCTTCGGACCCCCGGGTGGTGCGGTTGCTGGACGAGTTCGCCGACATCTTCGAGTCACCTACCGAGGTGGTGTCGGATCGGCCGATCTCTCATGAGGTCATTCTTGAGGCCGGTGCCGTGCCGCCGAAAGGTTGCATCTATTGGATGAGCGAGGAGGAGCTTGAGGTCCTCTGCGCACAACTCGACGATTTGTTGGCCAAGGGCTGGATCCGCTCTAGTAGCTCTCCATATGGAACACCAGTTCTCTTCATCCGGAAGAAGAACAAGGATCTACGATTGTGTATCGACTACCGCAAGCTCAACACGCAAACCGTCAAGAATGAGGGGCCTCTTCCTCGCCTCGACGATCATCTTGAGCGATTGGGCGTCACAAAGTATTTTTCTAAGTTGGATTTGAAATCGGGATATCATCAAATCTCGATCCGGCCGAATGATCGCTACAAATCCGCGTTCAAGACGCGGTACGGACATTTTGAGTGGGTGGCCATGCCTTTTGGCCTCACCAACGCCCCGGCGACCTTTCAAGCAACAATGACCAACGAGTTTCGTGCAATGTTGGACCGGTTCGTGCTGGTCTACTTAGACGATATTCTTGTCTATAGCCGGACATTGGAGGATCATCTTGGGCATCTTCGACGAGTGTTGGAGACGCTCCGCCGTGCCAAGTAGAAGGCCAACCGCGACAAGTGCGAATTTTTCCGGCAAGAGCTGGAATACTTGGGCCATTTTGTCACACCGGAGGGCATTAGTCCGCTTTCGGACAAGATTCGAGCCATCCAAAAGTGGCTGGAGCCTCGGAACGTCACGGATGTCTGCTCGTTCCTTGGTCTCGCCGGCTACTATCAACGTTTCATCAAAGGCTACTCGAAGATCGCGTCCCACTTAACCAAGGTTCAATTCGAGGATCGGTCGTTTGACTTCGAAGAGGAGGCGCGGGAATCATTTTTGGCTCTCAAAGCCGCGCTATTATCTGCGGGGCAACGAAACACCAGCGGACGCGTCCGCAAGGTCGAGCTCGGATCGCGGACCCAAATGGGTCCGCATCCGCGGCCTACGTGGTCCGCACCGCGGATCCGATTTTACACGAATTTTCCTGAATTAAATAATAGGAAAAAAAAGATAAAAAAATATGAGGTTGTAGGGAATTTTAAGCCCTACAACTCCATATATATTTTTTTTTGAATCCGACTTTGTTTAGGATTTTAAAAAAATCAAAAACGAAATTGGATGTAAAAAAAATTAAAAAAATATATATAAAGAAAAGCAGGAATTTTTTTTGGTCATTTTTTATCATGAGATATATGGTTCGTGAGTTTACTTGTATTTTTTGAGAAATGAATTTATGTTTTTTGCAGAAGTATGAGGTGTTTTGAAAAAATGCAGATGCAAAAAAAAAAAAAAA